GCTCCAGAAAAGTTTTGAGAATGAGGGAAACAAGTGCTAGAATTTGCCAGTCTCCCTCAAAGAAGGCAGGGTAAGGAACATCACCAAGCAGGATCTAACCCAGTTTCAGCCTTTGGTCCTGTCGAGGATACTGCAGAATTCATGTAGCTCTTCCCCGGAGATCTCTGGGTCTCCCTGCAGGAAGAACTACCACCAAAGAAACGTCTGTCGACTCCTGGGCTCGCCCCAGGGGTGCCCTATCAGCCTGTCCCCACTCTCACCCAGTCTCTGAAGGTAACTAGTCCAAAGGAGTTTTAAAAATCTAAATTCCATTATTTATCTCTGTTCTTCAAACTCATTACTCTTGTTAATTTAGAACTCCTGGGATGAATTTTTTTAAGCAAATAATTATTTAATACAGTGAATTATTCTACTTAATTTATGTTTTATAAATATAGACCAATATATCTTAGATCAGCACAAAATGCAGAATGATAGGAAGAAATGCTACTTCACTAAAATGGCATAAAATTGGGTTTTTTTTTTTCACTTTTGCCTCTCTCTTTCTCTGTACTTTTACTCACTGCTCCCCACACAAAGCTGGAAGGAGTGAGTGAACTCGGGAACCCTTCCCTCTTTATATATGGGAGCCAAAAACCTTCAAAGAGTGTGTATGCTGTGTCCTTTCATGCCATTAGATGTACAAGGGTCGGCCTCAATATGGGGATGTTTTTGTTAGATGCCATTGAATTGTTCCTGGCTCATAGTGAACAAATACAATAGAACAAAACACTGCCAGGTCCTGCATCATCCTCACAACTGCTGCTATGTGCAGCCCATTGTCGAAGCCATTGTATCAATCCATCTCCTTGAGGGTCTTCCTCTTTCTTGCTGGCCCTCTAATTTAACAAGCATTATGCTCTTCTCCAAAAACTGGTCCCCCCTAATAACATGACTAAAGTACGAGAGATGAAGCCTTGCCATTCTTGCATCTAAGGAGCATTCCACCTGTATTCCTTCCAAGACAGATTTCTTTGTTCTTCTGGCAGTCGACAGTATATTCAATATTCTTCACCATAATTCAAATGCATCAATTCTTCTTCAGTCTTTCTTATTCACTGTCCAGCTTTCACATGTATATGTGATGAAAGAAAATACCATGGCTTCATCCAAGTTCACCTTAGCCTTCAAAGTGACATTTTTTATCTTTTAACACTTCAAAGAGATCTTTTGCAGCAGATTTGCACAATGCAATACATTGTTTGATTTCTTGACTGCTGCTTCCATGGGGATTTCCAACTAAAAGGAAATCCTTGACAGCTTCTAACTTTTTTCCATTCATCATGATGTTGCTTATTGGTCCAGTTGTGAGAATTTTTGTTTTCTTCATGTTGAGGTGTAATCCATACTGGAGGCTGTAGTCTTTGATCTTCATCAGTCGGTGCTTGAAGTCCTCTTCACTTTCAGCAAGCAAGGTTGTGTCATCTGCATACTGTAAGTTGTTAATGAGTCTTCCTCCATTCTTGATGCCAGGTTCTTCTTCATATAGTCCAATTTCTCAGATTATGTGCTCCGCATACAGATTGAATACGTGTGGTGAAAGAATACAACCCTGATGCACACCTTTCCTAATTTTAAACCATGAAGTATCACCTTGTTCTATTTGAATGGCAGCCTCTTGGTCTATGTACAGTTTCCTCATGAGCACAATTAAGTGTTTTGGAATTCTCATTCTTCACAATATTATCCATAATGTTTTATGATCTGCAGTCAAATGTCTTTGCATAATCAATAAAACACAGGTAAATGTCTTCCTGGTATTTTCTGATTTTAGTCAAGATCCCTCTGACATCAGCAGTGATACCCATTGTTACACATTCTCTTCTGAATCTAGCTTGAATTTCTGGCAGTTCCCTGTTGATGCATGTTCTGGTTACCTAGCGCCGCTCTGACAAGATATGTACCACAAATGGGATGGCCTTAACAAACAGGAGTTTATTCTTACAATTTGGAGGCTTTAAGTCCAAGTTCAAAGTGCCAGGCTCTGGGGGCTGGGTGAAAGCCCCTCAACCTTGGGCTTTAGCTCTGTCTCCTGCTCCTGGCCCACAGAAGCTAGAGGCTTTTCTTCATTCAGACAGCTGCTGGCTGCTAAGGCTGCCAAGCCCAAGGTTGACAAGTAAAAAGGCACAGTCCTGATATTACCAAATCACACGGCAGGCCATTAACTTAAGTCCATTGTAAGTCCCAGGGTCGGCAGCACAGCAGGCTGTTGAGCAATGACATGGCAACATGCAGGGTCCAAGCGTGCTATAGGCTAGAGACCATTCTCAGGGCTTCTCCTTATATACAGGAAGCAGACCACATCCCAAAGGCAGCTACTCAGCTGCTTGTGGTAGATCACACCATGGAACTGATTGCCAGTCTCATCATGGGGAATAACTACCACCAGCTGCCCAGCCACTCAACCAGGCCCAGCCAAGTTGACACACAACATAACCACCACAAGGCACTACTGCAACACTTTTTAATTATTTTCAGCAAAGTTTTATTTGTATGGGATACTAATGATATTGTTTCATAATTTCCACATTTTGAGAGGATCACTTTTCTTTGAGATAGGCACAAATATGGTTGGTTAGGTAGCTGTCTTCCTTATTCACTGTCTATATGCATTCACATGCATATGAGGTGATTGAAAATACTTATGGCTTGGGTTAGCAGCACCTTAGTCTTCGAGGAGACATCTTTTTTCTTCGGCACTTGGAAAAGGAAGACCAAGACCAAAGAAGTTGATGCTTTTGAGTTGTGGTGTTGGCAAAGAATGCTGAAAGTACCGTGGACTGCTAAAAGAACTAAAAGAGATTTCTCCTGGAGGAAATGCAGCCAGAATGCTGCTCAGAAGCAAGAGTGGCCAGACTTCGTCCCACCTACTTTGGTCATGTTGTCAGAAGGGACCATTCCCTGGAGAAGGATGTCATGCTTGGTAGGGTGGAGGGTCGACAAAAAAGGGGAAGACCCTCAACGAGATGGATTGACACAGTGGCCGCAATGATGGGCTCCGGCATAGTAAGAATGGTGAGGCTGGCACAGGACCAGGCAGCATTTTGTTCTGTTGTGCACAGGGTCACAATGAGATGGAGGCAACTCGGCAGCACCCAACAACAACAGGTAGATGTCTTCCAAATTTCTTGGCATAAATGAGTGAGTCCTTCCAGCTTTGCATCTGTTTGTTGAAATATCTCAGTTGGTATTCCATCAATTCCTGGAGCCTTGTTTTCCATAAATGTCTTCAGTGTTGCTTGGACTTCTTCAGTACCATTGGTTGTTGTTCATATGCTCCCTCCTAAAATGGCTGAACATCAACCAATTCATTTTGGTACAGTAACTCTGTGTATTCCTACTATCTTCTTTTGATGCTTCCCGTGTCATTAAATATTTTGCCTGTAGAATTCTTCAATATTGCCACCTGAGGATTGAACTTTTTCTTCAGTTTTTTCAGCTTGAGGAATGCTGATCATGTTTTCTAACTCCAGGTCTTTTGCATGTTTCATTATAATACTTTACTTTTGTCTTCTGGAGCTGACCTTTGAAATCTTCTTTAGCTTTTTTATGTCATTAATTCTTCTATTTGCTGTAGCTATTCTCCATTCAAGAGCAAGTTTCAGAGTCTATTCTGATATCCATTATGGCCTATTCTTTCATTCCTGTCTTTATAATGGTTTCTTTGTGTATTGATGACTACCCTTGATGACTTCCCACAACTTGTCTTGTCGTTGTTTTCAGTCATTTGTGTTCAATGTGTCAAATCTATTCTTCAGATGTTCTCTACATTCAGATGGGATATTCTCAAGGTCATATTTTGGCTCTTGTGGACTTGTTTTAATTTTCTTCAACTTGAACTATAACTAGCTTATGAGCAATTGATGGTCTGTTCCACAGTTGGCACTTGGCCTTATTCTAACTGATGATATGGAGCTTCTCCATTATCTCTTCCCACAGATGTAGTTGATTTGATTCCTGTGTATTCCATCTGATGAGGTCCACATGTATAGTTGCCGTTTATGTTATTGGGGAAAAAATGGTATTTGCAATGAATAAGCTTTTGCAAAATACTCTCATGTGATCTCTGGCAGCGTTTCTATCAACAATGGCATATTTTCCAACTACCAATACTTCTTCTTTGTTTCCAACTTCTGCATTCCAATCACTAGTAATTACCAATGCATCTTAACTGCATGTTTGATTAATTTCAGACAGTAAAAATCTTTAGTTTCCTCATCTTTGGCTTTAGTGGTTGGTGCATAAATTTGAATAATAGTCATATTAACTGGTCTTTCTTGTGGGTGTATGGATATTATGCTATCACTGACAGCACTGTACATCCAATTCAGGGAATCAACATTAGGAACCCCACTTTCCTACAGATATCAGTCATTATCTTTAATATCTGCTTATTTGTAATAAAGATGATTTCATAGGACTCTCTATGCTGACAAATTCCTGGGTGGTATTAATGATTAAGGGAGCTCTGGTGGCATAGTGACTAAGACATTTGACTGCTAAGCAGAAGGCTGGTGGTTCAAGGTTAATGTGCTAACCAAAAGGGTAGATGTTCAATTCCACCCAGAGGCACCTAGAAAGACCTACTTCTAAACAATCAGCCATTAAAAACCCTATGGAACAGAGTTGTACTCTGACACACACAAATGAGTCGAAATCAACTCAACAGGAACTGACAACAGGTACATGCTGACTCTGGTCTTCTCTTTTCAGCTGGTTCAGAACATGGGGAATGAAGAGGAATGTGACACATTGGTCCCCTTCATAACCAAATGAAAAAGTGACCTGAGTCTCCTCTGCTTCACAACTTACTTCATCTAGTTCTTCATTCATTCCTTCATTCATTCGTTCAACACATATTTACTGAGGGTCCCTTTTGGTACAGACAGACACACCACTTAGCAGAGTATTCTGGAAATAGTTGGCACTTAGCAATTTTTCTTAAACTGGTTTATTCTTACCTGGTCTTCAGTGCTGAAGGCAAGAATGAAAAGCAAATCCTCATCACATGTGCTCTTAATGTAATGCTGAGTTCCAACGGGAAAAAATACCACATCCCCAATGTGAATGTTAAAATCTATGGTAGTTTGAGTATTAATAATGCCCACCTAAGAAGGGAGGAAAAACATGTTGGCGTTAAGCATGAAAAATCAAATATTAATTGAAGATAACCGCTAACTGTGAAGAATAGATTAATAAAGCACATGGCTGCACAGGGACCTGTTAGTGAGGCAACCAGGGGAGAGAGAAGCCATCCTCACATAGCATCTCCCATGTCAGAGACATAGTCCCATATAAAATCTTTAAAGCTCATCCTTAAACCAAAGTATCCCCTGAAGTTATCTTTAAACCAAAAAAACCAAACTCACTGCCATCGAGTCAATTCCAACTCATAGCGCCCCCCTTTGGGGTTTCTAAGGCAGTAAATCTTTATGGAAGTAGATTGCCCAGTCTTCCTTCTATGGAGTGGCTGGTGGGTTTGAACTGCCAACCTACTGGTTAGCAGTCAGATGCCTTAGGCACTGTGCTAACAGAGCTCCTTCAACCAAACACTAGTTTAGCTTAATTAATAAAGAAGTCTGCCTTGAGCATTGTGCCCTTTTAAGAAAGATCTATATGGGATCAAATTGACGACTGTAACTTGAAACATTAGGTAAGGAAACTTAGGGGGCAGTGAGCTTATGTTAATGGAGTTTGTTAACTTGGAAAAGGAGGTTAAGAATGGCTACACAACTTGAAAAATGTAACGTCACTGAATTGTGCATGTAGAAATTGAATTGAATTGGCGCATGTTCTACTGCATGTATTCTCAACAATAAAAAACAAATGAAATAATTTTTTTAAAAGAATATCAAAACCAGAACCTCTACTTAAGTAAGTTTATCAAAATGCATTAGTGAATTCAGTATAGCAGAAAAGCATGCAAAAAAAGATCACCGAGCACCATGTTGTAATTCATAAATTGTGTTCCATAACACATTAGACAGAGCATTTAAATTTCAGTGTTTTACCGCTCTCATCCCCTCCTTTCCACTTGCTTGGGAAAACCACCTGTCAGCCTTCTGGGACAGCAAAATCCTTACAGTCTTCTTTTAAAGGAATAGAGACTAAATGTGTGTGTGCACGTACACATCCCAACAAAAAGTCTGATCCTTAAAACATAGGAGAGGTTAAAGTGTCCTTTTCCAAAGTATAACACTTTCCCTTAAAACATAAAACAAAGCTTTTGCTATAGGTGACAACGAGTATTTCAGTTTGGTTTTTGGTTCTTTCCTTAAAGATTGAGAAAGGCAGAGGCTAGAGAAGCCCCTTTCCCAGGGAAGCCACTGATAGTCTGGACAAACTGCAGACAAATCACTATGTTAACGAGCTACCCAGCTGGACTTTTCTTATGGTAACCATATAATTGATCATCCAAACCAGAACATTCTGAAGAGTGAAGGGAGCAGCTGCTGGTAACTTTGCCAACACAAGTGTGCATCAGAAGAATCCTGGGAAAACTGGGATGTATGGCCACTGTCTTAATGCTCCAAGAAGCTGTGGTGGCACAGTGATTAAGCATTTGCTGCTGACCAAAAACAGGTCAGCAGTATTAACCCACCAGTCGCTCCACAAAAGTAAGATGTAGCAGCCTGCCTTCCATAAAGATTACAGACTAGGAAACCCTATGGGGCAGTTCTACTCTGTCTATAGGTTGCCATGAGTTGGAATTGATAGCAACAAGTTTGGTTTTGACTTACTAATGGTCCACACTTCTCCTCCCCAACTGCTGCCACTTACCTCACACTGATGAGAAGAATCTGCTCACATTCCTCCAAAGGGCAACATATCCCACCCTTGCATTAAAAATGCAAATTCTGAAAGCCTAGCCAGGTGTTCCCAACTCTCCACCACAAATGATAACATATTTATCACTTCTGGAATCTTCTTAGCCTTTACTCATGCAGATCCTGCACCTTTTCTGTCTCATCAAACTTGGAAGCTATCTAAGGGGGCCTGCAGGGCATCTTCTGTGGAAACCATGCCCATAAAGCCATTAGCACTGAGTCCTTTTATGTTACTAACAACTGAACCAAAAAGAAGAAATCCTTGCTATCTGCTTTGTTTCTGCATGAAAAAGAAAAATCCAAAAAACTGTTCATGGGGAAATTACCTTTCCACATCCACTTATTACATATCCCATTTCATTTGCATTAAAATGAAAATGTGGCTGTCGTAATCCATTGTTAAAAATTCTGAGTGTACTCAAAGTGAGGGCATTTTGATGCTTAAAAAGAAAGAAACAAACAAAAAGGAATTCAGTTCCTTAGCCAACATCCTTCTGGCAACTTAACACTTCATACAACCATAATAATAACAACTAATATTTGTGCAGCTCCAACATGTAATTTTCTATGTCACATTATGTCATCTATTCCTCACAATAGTCCTATAAATTTGCTAGTATTATTCTCCTCACCTTACAGGAGACAAAATTAAAATCTAGATGGATGAAGTAATTTACCAAGGGTCACGCAAACTAAGTGGTAGACCAGCAACTTAACCCAGGCAATCTGATGCCAGATTCATTGCCAGTCTATCAGATTCATTATTTGCATAATGAATAAGAGCCGTGCTCTTACTCATTCATTATGCAAATAGCCAATTGAGCATTTAAAATAAAGGAAAAGAGAATTCTCGCAAGTTCCACTTTTTTTCATCAGTGTACATGTTCGTGCCAGAGAATTCAAGTTCCCAAACCCACATGGTCACCTCAGTGGACAGTTCCCATTGATCAAATTAACCACAGTTTGGCTGGAGCTTCCCTTTTCCTTTTGTCCAAAAGAAGCCTGAATCCAATCTACATCTCCTATTTCATCAACCTGAATGTTCATCAAAACATTTTTCTCACCATTACCTGATTCACAAATTCACTAAAAATTTTTTCATTGTTGTTTAGTTCACTTCCATTTTTCCAATATTGTGCCCATTGTATTATTCCTCCTGGAAAACGATATTCTTTTGAACCTGGGTTAGATGAAGTTTAAAAAACAAATAAATAAGGTAAAATACTTCAAGATGGAAGACCCAACACTAGACACAGTAAAGTACATGGCTCTTATATATTTATAGAAAACCAGCATAATGACAATTGCTGACACCAGGCCCTAGGTCGGGAGGAAGACTGGGCAATCTACTTCTGTAGTGATACTGCCTCAGAAACCCAAGGAGGGGTCACCAAGAGTCAGATCCGACTCAATGGTTGGGAATTTGGCTTTTTTTTTTTTTTTTTTTAAGGCCCTAAGTGCCCCCAAATACTGACCTGACACAGTCAGATATTAGCCTACCTTCCAAGCTCTCCTGAAATTCCTAACAGAGTGACCTCTTTAAGACAGACTGCTCAATTCAGGGGACCTGGCTAGAAAACTTGGCAGTCAACCAAAAAAACAAATCAGTCAAATATCAAGCCCTGTCAGCCCTACTTCTTTAAATTCCCTGTGCTTTACAATTCTCTCCTTACAACTGCCATAGCGCAGGCTATTTTCATCCCTATTTGGGTGACTGCAAGGGTCCCCTAACTCATTCCCCTGCCTGTTTGGCCTCTTCCAGTCCATTCTCAATGAGTCAGTCAGGAAGGTCATCACTCAAAAAAACAAAGTAATGGTGTCACTCTCTCCTATTTAAAATCCTTCAACTGCTCCTCCTGAGACCTGCATGATGACTAAGGCATTTGACTGCTAACCAGAAGGCTGGCGGTTCAAACCCACCAGCCACTCCTCAGAAGGAAGGTTGGGCAATCTACTTCCATAGTGATACCGCCTTGGAAACCCAAGGAGGGGTCGCTATGAGTCAGATCCGACTCCACAGCAGTAAGTTTCTCGGTGGCCTCTTCCCTGGCAGAAACCCCACCCCAGCACACATCCCTCCCACATGGAAATCCTTTGCCACACTGTCTTCTGCCTCCAGGTCTTTTCTCACATTGCTCACACTGCTGATAAATGTCTTATCAAACTTCTCTTGACTATGACCCACCATAGGGGGAAAAAAAAAAAGAGTATGTTACATTTCAATGAAATACACATGTATAATCATATTGATCATTTCTTAACTGAAAAGTCTTCACAAAACAACATACCATACCTTTAAGGTCAAAAATGTATTTCCACACAAGTCTGTCTGGAGACTGTACATAACTGGCATCCATGACCAGGTCTGCCAAGTTGGGAGGAAGGTTGACTCCCTGATCCTCTTTTTGTTTATGGAATGTTCTGATGAAATTAATTCCATCTTCAGGCTGAAACACACAAGAAGCCACATATTTGTACAACATTTTACAGATTTTGGTATTGGAATGATAGATATGTGAGAATATAGTTATCAGTGCCAGTGTGGTTATCAGTGACCCTTTATAACGTCTACCAGTCAGAACAGCTGAAATCTTCTGAGAATTATGAAAATCCCTAAAGCATTCAATGCATTTTGGTTTTAAATGTATTGGTGTTGTATGGTCAATGTAAACAAACTCATGAAAAAAATGCACATTGGTGTCCATGCTTACCAACATTCTCCCTAATGACTCAGTTCTACTTCCAGATAGATTTCTACATTTACCACTGAACCTTTCCATTGCCAAGCATGGGCCCTCACCAGTTCCTCTGATGACCCATTTGGACAGCATCCACATCCAACCCTCTGCAACCAGCTCTATCAGCGGTTCCCCATGATAATATAAATATCTGGAAATATTGAAAGTAGCTATTCCTCAGGAAAAGTATGGGAACCTCTGCATTAAATCAAGATAAAGCCCAACTGCATTATCTGAAGTAAATTTCTCCTTGAAGAAAGACTGAGTGCTTTGCCTTCAGAAATGTAAAATATAGCCATTTTTCTATTAACTATACCATAACCTCTCTGCCAATTCAATATAATTTCTTATGGAAGCTCTTCATAAAGGAAAATAAAAAGCAATTCAACTTCAGTAAGTTTTGTGTCTTCAGTAGAAATACAACATATGCTCTTGAGTCTATTATCCAACTTTATCCACAAAATTAGCCAATTTCTTCTGGACCTACATTGACTGCTGCCCTCGAAACATGAATTCTCCTGCTTTCTTTGTGTCTATGTGATGCAGGCTTTCGTAGTGGGATCTGTTTTCAGAAATGCCACAGACCTTCAGTGATCTGGAAGCAATATCCTCAGGAGTAGAAAAAAACACATCATCAACATCCAGTGTCTGAAGTTCATCATGTGTGGAAAAGAAGAGCAAGAAAAAGCAGTCTTCATTCCCCACATTCTTTATCCAATGTAGGGTATTTTTAGGGAAGAAGATCACTTGTCCGGCTGTCACAATGTACGTGGTAGCTACTTTACCACCATGGTCAACCACCCCAATCCATGCTCTTCCCTGAAACAGAAAAAGAAAAACACACCCAGCATCACTTTAGAGCAGGATTCTCAATCTTCTTTCATTACCTCCTTTCTAAGGTACCGTTTTAGACCTTTTTCCCCCCAGTCATCACCCTATGAAATTTAAATGCCACAGGTATACTGATCTAGGAAATAGATAGATAGGTGTGTGTGTGTGTGTGTGTGTGTATACTTTAGTTGTCAAAGATTTCATATTACTTGGTTCCACAATCAACACCCATGGAATCAGCAGTCAAGACATTAGATGACATATTGCATTGGGCAAACCTGCTGCAAATGATCTCTTTAAAGTGCTGAAGAGCAAAGATGTCTCTTTGAAAACTAAGGTGCACCTAATCCAAGCCACGTTGTTTTCAATCCCTCATATACATGTGAGAGATGGGCAATGAATAAGGAAGACTGAAGAAGAGTTGATGCTTCTGAGCTGTGGTGTTGGCAAAGAATACTGAAAGTACCATGGACTGCCAGAAGAATGAACAAATCTGTCTGGAAGAAGTGTAGTCAGAATGCTCCTTGGAAGCGAGAATGGCCAGACTTCGTCTCACCTACTTTGGTTATGTTGTTAAAAGGGACCATTCCCTGGAGAAGGATATCATGCTTGGTAAAATGGAGGGTCAGCAAAAAAGGGGAAGGCCCTCAACGAGATGGATTGACATGGTGGCTGCAACGATGGGCTCAGGTATAGCAAGGATTGTGAGGCTGGCGCAGGATGGGGCAGTGTTTTGTTCTGTTGTACACAGGGTCTCTGTGAGTTGGAGCTGACTCGACAGCACCCAACAATAACAACACGTACATACTTTATATATAAAAAGAGTAAGATTTTTGTCTGCCTCCCAAGAGCAAATTCCCTCTGCAGGGGCAACATCACCCCCTTTGAGAATACATGTTTTTGTGTTTGAAAAGACTAAAGTTAATGTGCAAGAATGTATGCATGTTCCTAGGTAATTACATAGGTATGTATGTTAGTGAGTATGTATACATAAACCAAAAAATAACAAACCCACTGCCATTGAGTAGGTTCTGATTCATAGCGACCCCCACTGGGTTTCCAAAGCTGTAAATCTTTATGGAACTAACAGCCCTATCTTCTTTCCACGGAGCAACTGGTTGGTTTGAACTGCTGACCTTCTGGTTAGCAGTCAAATGCCTTATCCACCAGAGGTTCTATGTATATATATATATATAGAGAGAGAGAGAGAGAGAGAGAGAGATGTATATTTTCTAAATTTAACGTACAGTGTTAATAGTAACAATAACCAAACCCATTGCTAACAAGTCAATTCCAACTCATAGCAACCTTATAGAACAGAGAAGAACCATCCTATAGGGTTTCCAATTCTATAATCTTTATGAAAACAGACTGTAACATTTTTCTCCCATGAAGCAGCTGGTGAGTTGGATCTACTGACCTTTTGATTAGTAGCCAAATGCTTAAACAATATGCCAACAAGACTCTTTAATAATGTTGTTGTTGTTGTTGTCAGGTGTCATTGAGTGGGTTCTGACTCATAGTGACCTTATGTACAACAGAATGAAAAATGCCCAGTCCTGCACTATCTCCACAATCATTGACCATTATTGCAGCCTATTGTTGGAGCCACTGGGTGAAGCCATTTGTTGAGGGTCATCCCCTAACCCTTGACTTTACCAAGCGTTATAGCCTTCTCCCTCCTGATAACATGACCATGGTACAAGAGATGAAGTCTGGCCATTGTTGCTTCCAAGGAGCATCCAGCAGTACTTTTTCCAGGAAGATTTGTTTGTTCTTCCAGCTGTCCATGGTATTTTCATTATCTTTTGCCAACACCACAATTCAGAGGCCTCAACTCTTCTTAGGTCTTCCTTATTCATTTTCCAGCTTTCACATGCATATGAGGCTACTGAATATACCATGGATTGGATCAGGCACACCTTAGTCTTCAGAGTGACATTGGTGCTCTTTAACACTTTAAAGTGGTCTTTTGCAGCAGATTTGCCCAGTACAATACGTTGTCAGATTTCTTGACTGCTGCTTCCATGGGCATTGATTACAAATCAAAGTAAAATGAAATACTTAACAACTTCGGTCTTGTCTTTATTTATCATGATGATCTTTATCCAGTTGTGAGGATTTTTGTTTTCTTTAAGTTGAAATGTAATCCATTCATAACAATAATAACAAGCATTTATTTTTTTATTGTGTGTCAGGTATTCTTCTAAGTATTTTACTTGATTTAACTCAAATATGCCTCATATAAGGAGCTCTGGTGGTGTAGTGCCTAAGGTATCTGACTGCTAACCAGAAGGTTGGCAGTTTGAACCCACCAGCCACTCTGTGGAAGGAAGACTGGGCAATGTACTTCTATAAAGATTTACCACCTTGGAAACCCAAAACATGTCGCTATGAGTCAGAATTGACTCAACAGCAGTGAGTTTTGGTTTTTATGCCTCCTATCCCCTCTACGAGGAAAGTACTATTATTGTCCCCAGTTTACAGAGGAGAAAATTGAGTAGTGGAGAGAATGAATAATTTGGCCAAGGCTATTGAACTAGGCAATTAGCAAAGTTGGGATATGGCTCCTAGTCTACACTTTTAATTGCTTATGATGATGCATACATAACTAGAATGCACTTTCTCTTATTCTCTAATCTGTTCCTCAGGGTTACCCTGTGAGATAGGTAGAGAAGATACCATTGTGTTATCAAAGACTCATGGTCACACTGCAGAGAATCCAGAAGGGTAAATGAAAAAGTCTTTGTTCTGTCTATAAAGACAACATGTAGAACTCAGATCCAGAAGGGTATTGAAGATGCAAGGGAAAAGTCCCCACGCAGGGAACAGCAGAAATACATATCTATTCCCAGAGAGGACTAACTGTGCCAGAGGCTGAGCAGAGAGACACAGTATTGGGTTGGTGGGAAGTTCACTGCAGGGACCCACTTCTTCACATCCTCTTCGTTGGCTCCTTACCTTGAATGTAAGAACAAGTGATCCTATGATTTGCCTGCAATCTAAATATATTCCAGTCCAAATAGTCCACATTTGAAAGCTAACATTATAAATTCTCTGGACTTCTAGAGCTAAGCTCTGGTGGTGCAGTGGTTAAGCACTCAGCTGCTAACCAAAGGCCTGCAGTTTGAATCTAACAGCCGCTTAGCGGAAGAAAGATGTGGCAGTCTGCTTCCATGAGGATTATAGTCTTGGAAACCCAATGGGGCAGTTTTACGCTGTCCTATAGGGTTGCTGTGAGTTTGAATCGACTCCACAGCAGTGGGTAATGTGTGAGACATTAGACCTGCCTTCCCAAGCTGAGCTGGCTCCCAAAGACTATTACCTACTGGCCAATTGCCCTATCTTAGAGTTGACTTTCAAGGGTCCAGTTAGCTGGTTTCCCTTTCCTCCTACCATTTTACCCACTCCTCATCCAAAGCCATGAACATGAGTATTTGGGAGATTAGCATCGTTTACATGTTTTGTATAAGTGGAATAATATATAAAGTCAGAAAACATGGACTTTGTCCAAGGCTCGCCAACGACTACAGCTTATCTTTGGAAAAACCACCTAATCTCTCTGAGTTACTGTTGTCCCATGAGAAATAAAAGGTATTAGTCTCATATAGATAAAACTCTCATTTCTCTTCCTGTTGTAAATTCTGAAATTGTACACACTGTCCAAGTACAAAAAGGGGGTTTTATTAGCAAACAAATGTATGTATATGCATATGTGTTTAACAGAACACCAGTGTAAGATTAAACTCTGGAAGTTCAGTGAGGGCTTAGTCACTATTGCTTCCCCAAGAGGTGACCAATAAATACTTTTTGGAATTAATGAATTATCTGAAATTCAAGTAAGTACACACATCTTACCTCAAGCTGTATCTTTGACTTCGAGAAAACTCTGAAAAGTTTGAACTGCAAAAGGCATCCCATTTTAATTCCATTGACCTGATGTTAGAGACTACAGGGTAGACATCGGCGAACTAGTTTGTTATTCCAGTGGCAGCTTCTTCCTTCAAGGAAAGCTGCCATCTCTTTGATCATTAGATCAGAGCTGCCATTTTTAGTTTTGGCTCAAAGGACTGAACAGTGGTCTTATTTCAGTATGTGAGAAATTATTTCTTACCGAAGAAAGAAGTTCAAAGGGACGCCAAAAATAATTTAAGCAAACAGGCTAATGCTTCAAGGTGCTGTTAACTAATCTAACTGAATATATAGCCAAAGTCCAAACAGTGTCTATCATTCAGTTAAGCAGGTTTTGCAACAACTAAAATAATACCCTGAGGACACATGGCATATATATGCTTAAGAGCAGAATGTGGACAAGCTGGTCGTACCTGTACAAGATAGCCGTGTTCATGGGCATTGAAGTGCCAGTGAGGAGCCCGGAGGCCGCTGCTTTTTATTCTTAGGGTCCCCAGAGTCATCTGTGATCTCTTACTGTTCAGACTGGTGCCAAAGGCCTCTTCTTCATCACTGAGATAGTCACGGACACTGCTCCTATACCGGGCCCACTGGATAGCACCACCAGGGAACTCAAATACCTGGAAGATCAAAAGCAAGAATATGAGGCTGCCATGGCCTACAGAGTTAAAGGGAAGCAAAACGGAAAAGGCAATGGTGGTGAAGCGGATTTTAGAGGGAAGAAGAAAAACAGCTATGCAAGACTCTAGGAATGGCAATAGTGGCATATGCAATGCTATCGGTCTAGTCCATATTGTACATTTTAAAAAAAGAAACCTAGAGAATAGAGGGATCTCATTTTACCCATCTGCATTTCTCCCCTCCAGTCAGACACAGAACTACCTACAGAAGGAAATTTCTGCCTGGGACCAGCATCAACCCCACTCTCTCCTCTTCTCTATGTCACTTCCCTTCATCCAGATGGACCTACGGCTGGTTCCTTCCAGTAAAGGGAGAATAAAGCTTAGAAAGAAGCAATAGAAAGTTTGTTTTGAAATTACTACTTAAAATAAATAATCCTTTCCCAATATCTGATGCATACCTTGGATTTAGGTAAATGATTAAGAAACTGGAATTTTGGATCAACAGCCTTTTGCATGATAGGAATCACTGTTGTTTGCTGAGGCCTGGCTTCAGGTCTGAACTGGATGTCTGACTGGGGCTGGGAGTTCTTAACGTAAACCAAGGAGAAAATCAGTGCAGCTACTGCTGTGGTGAGGATGCAGGCCAAGAGACACACCAGGAACATGCTCACCAGTGACCACTCCCTCTTCTTTTCCTAGGAGAAATTATGAAGCCATTGTTCTTGACTCATACATGTGTAACTATGAGTATGTATACACACACACACACACACACACACACCACTAAAACCCAAAATACCAAACCCACTGCCAATGAGTCAATTCTGACTCATAGCAGCCCTACAGAACACAGTAGAGCTACCCCATTGGGTTTCCAAAGCTGTAAATCTTTATGCAAGAAGACTGCCTCATCTTTCTCCCATGGAGCAGCTGGTAGGTTTAAACCACTGATCTTCTGGTGAGCAGCCCAATGCTTTAACCACATGCCACCAGAGCTCCTGATGTACATCACATGTACTATACAACTCACTGGCATCCAAAGCAGTAAGGGTGAAAATAAATGGATGAAGAGTTGAAGCACAGAATAAATTGGAGCTAGAAAATTAAGCAACTAGTAAAGCTTATCTAAAATATACTTTAATTCAATCAATTAGCCTCTATTTATCAGTTTCTTCACCTGAATATTAAAAAAGTTATTTAAAAAAAATAACAAATATTTTATAAGGTCCTTTTAGTTCCAAAATGTTCATAAAGATTTATACGTACAGGTATATGCATGGGAATAATTAACATACAGGTAAAACAACTGGCTTGACAGCTCTCTCTCTCTCTCTCTCCTCCTTCATTTACAGAGCTTCACTAAAGTCCCTCCTTCCATGTATCACCTACAAGAGCTACCAATCCATCTACCAAATCTGAGCACAGTATTTCCATGTTACTGTTTCCTATTTTTCCATTATATGTTAAAAACAACATTATTAATTCTAGGAATTACAATCCCACACTACTGAAAACTGACAAGAAAACACATACCGTAACCTTTGGGAAGGCCAATTTGCTTCCATTTCTCTGACCATGAAAATGACACCCACAAGCATTAAAGTCCTGTTCTACTGTCCTTTTGAGTTCATGGCCTTTCTCTCTGAGCAGGCATTTCTTTGATTACTAATAACTCTAACAGAGAACTTCTTCATCCTTCGAGGTTCTAGAATGGTGCCTTTTGTATAGCAAAATCATTTCTTAACATAATGAGTTTAATACTATGAGCAAGAATTTGCAGAGAGTCGGGCCTCTAATGAATTAAAGGAGGTATGAGTTAAGGCTTTATCAGGAAGAAAGCAAGTCAGGAAACACTCAGAGCAAGAAATACTGCCTTCCTGACGTGATGAAGGGTCTATAGAGGGATTCTCTCCTGAGCTCCTTGGAAGGAAGAAGATTGGGCAATCTACTTCCGTAGAGATACCACCTTGGAAACCCAAGGAGGGCTCACTATGAGTTGAATCCAGTTGATGACAGTGAGTTTGGTTGGTTTTTTTTTTTTTTTTTTGGTTAAGCCCTGGGGGAAACTATGTAAATTCCCACCTTACCATCCTGGAGATGTTGTTCATCTTCCCTGTAGACAAGGTGTTCTGTGTTACATCTTCATGCATTTCAAATGCTGAACTGTCCGTTGGCAAAAAGAGGCATACAAGCCCTTGAAAAGGAAGAAGAAAAAGTAGCTTTAGCAAACTGGGGAATCCCTTAGAGGAGAAAGATGGTGATTCTTAAGTAAGAAAGTACTTATATAGAGCTGAAATACAAGGAAATGATACAAGGAAATAGGTCCTTAAACTACAATGCTGGTTAAAAAAAAAACTTAAAAGAATTGTCAAATGAGAGACTACTAAAACACTCCCTTTGATCTCTTATCCTATGTGGCCTACATGATAAGAAACCAGTATATTTCTTCTCAATTACACCTTGAAAGAAAACCAACTCTTTGTCTAATGTTGACACAGACAAAGATGATAACATTTAACATCTTCCCTTACAATGTACCAGGCACTGTGCTAATATTGTTGTTGTTAGGTGCCATCAAGTCATCCTCATAGCGACCCTATGCACAGCAGAACGAAACACTGCCCAGTCCCACACCAGCTCCACGATCCCTGCTATACTTGAGCCCATCGCTGCCCCCACTGTGTCAATCCATTGCATCGAGGGCCTTCTCCTCCTTCATCAACCCTTCACTTTACGAAGCATGACATCCTTCTCTAAGGAATGGTCCCTTCTGACAAGTTGACCAAAGTAGGTGAGACAAAGTCTGGCCGTTCTCTCTTCCAAGGAGCATTCTGGCTGCACTTCTTCCCAGACAGATTTGTTAAATCTTTTAGCAGTCCGTGACACTTTCAACATTCTTTGCCAGCACCACAACTCAAAAGCATCAACTTTTCTTTGGTCTTCCTTATACATTGTCCAGCTCTCACATGCATATGAGGCAATTGAAAATACCATAGCTTGGTGTCAGGTGAACCTTAGTCCTCAAGGAGACATCATTGCTTTTCAGCACTTGAAAGAGATCCTTTGCAGCTGATTTGCCCAGTGCTATACACAACATCTGACGTTCTGACTGCTGCTTCCATTGACATCGATTGTAGAACCAAGCAATGTGACATCATTGACAATTTCAATCTTTTCTCCATTTATCATGATGTTGTTTATTGGTCCTGTTTTGAGGATTTTTGTTTTATTTATATTAAGGTGAAATCCATACTGCAGACTGCAGTCTTCAATCTTCATCAGCAAGTGCTCCAAGTCATCCTCATTTTCAGCAAGGAAAGTTGTGTCATCAGCATATCACAGGTTGTTAATGAGTCTTCCTCCAATCCTGATGCCATGTTCTACTTCATATAGTCCAGCTTCTTGGATTATTTGCTCAGCATATAGATTGAATAAGTATGGTGAAAGGATACAACCATGATGCACTCCCTTCTTGATTTTAAACTATGCAGTGTCCCCTTGTTCTATTTGAATGACAGTCTCCTGGTCTATGTACAGGTTCCTCATGAGTACAATTAAGTGTCCTGGAATTCCCATTCTTCTCAATGTTACCCATAATTTGTTATGATCCACACAATCAAATGCTTTTGCATAGCCAATAAAAACATAAGTAAACATCTTTCTGGTATTCTTTGCTTTGAGCCAAGATCCACCTGACAACAGCAATGATATCCCTTGTTCCACGTCCTCTTCTGAATCCAGCTTGCATTTCTGGAAGTTATCTGTCAATATACTGCTGAAACCATTTTTGAATTATCTTCAGTAAGATTTTACTTGTATGCAATATTAATGATATTGTTTGATAATTTCCACATTTTGTGGGATCACCTTTCTTTGGAATGGGTACAAATATGGATCTCTTTCAGTTAGTTGGCCAGGTAGCTGTCTTCCAAATCTCTTGGCATAACCGAGTGAGTGCCTCCAGGAGGGCATTCGTTTGTTGAAACATATCAGTGGGTATTCCATCAATTCCTGAAGCTTGCTCTTCACTATTTCCTTCAGTGCAGCTTCGACTTCTTCCTTCAATATCATTGGTTCTTGATCATATGCCACCTCCTGAAATGGATGATCATATGCCAGTTCTTTTTGGTACAATGACTGTGTATTCCTTCCATCTTCTTTTGATGATTCCTGCTTCCTTCAATATTTTGCCCATAGAATCTTTCAATATTGCAACTCAAGGCTTAAATTTTTTCTTCAGTTCTTTCAGCTTGAGAAATGTTGAGTGTGTTCTTCCCTTTTGGTTTTCTAACTCCAAGTCTTTGCACATTTCATTATAGTAACTGGCTTTGTCTGCTTGAGCTGCTCTTTGAAATCTTCTGTTCAGCTCTTTTATCTTGTCGTTTCTTCTATATGCTTTAGCTACTCTCTGCTCAAGGGCAAGTTTCAGAGTCTCTTCTGAAATCCATTTTGGTCTTTTCTTCTTTTCTTGTCTTTTTAATGACCTCTTGCTTTCTTCATTGATGATGTTCTTGATGTCATCCCTCAATTCTTCTGGCTTTCAGTCATTGGTGTTAAATGCATCAAATCTATTCTTTAGATGATCTCTAAATTCAGGAGGGATATATTCAAGGTCATATTTTGGCTCTCATGGACTTGTTTTAATTGTCTTCAACTTCAAGTTGAACTTGCATATGAGCAGTTGATTTTCTGTTCCACAATCAGCTTCTGGCCTTGTTTTGACTGAAGATATTGACCTCTTCCATCTCCTCTTGCCACAGATGTAGTCAATCTGATTCCTGTGTACTCCATCTGGCAAAGTCCACGTGTATAGCCACCGTTTGTGTTGTTGAAAAAAGGTATTTGCAATGAATAAGTCATTGGTCTTGCAAAATTCTATCATGCGATCTCCAGTGTTATTTCTGTCACCAAGGCCAAATTTTCCAACTACAGGTGATTCTTCTTTGTTTCCAACTTTTGCATTCCAGTCACTGGTGATAATTAACACATCTTGATTGCACATTCAGTCAATTTCAGACTGCAGAAGTTCATAAAAATCTTCAATTTCCTCATTTTTGGCTTTGTTGGTTGGTGCATAAATTTGAATAATAGTAGTATTAACTGGTCTTCCTTGGAGGTGTATGGATATTATCCTATCACTGACAGCATTGTACTTCAGAACAGATCTTGAAACATTCTTTGTAATGATGAATGCCACGCTTCTTCAAATTGTCATTCCCAGCATAGTAGATGATATGGTTGTCTGATCCAAAATGGCCAAAACTGGTCCATTTCAGCTCACTAATGCCTAGGATATCAATCTTTAGGCGTTCCAGTTCATTTTTTACAACTTCCAGTTTTCCTAGATTCATACTTCATACATTCCATGTTCCAATTATTAATGGATGTTTGCAGCTGTTTCTCCTCAATTTGAGTCATGCCACATCAGCCAATGGTGGTACTTTATATACATTATATGATTCAGTGCTTACTGAAATCCTATCACATACACACTGTGATTGTTAGCATTTAGCTGATTAGGAACCTGAGGCAGAGCAGTGCAGTAACTGCCCCAAACCACACAGCTAGCTTCAGTGTGGGAGCAAAGCACCCTCTATCTGATGGTTCCTCTGTGATACTGGTTCTATGAAGAGGCTGGTGGTGAGTGCTTAGTACAATCTCTTTT